GCAGGTTCATTTAAATAACAATATCATCCAGCATAAAAGTCACAAAAGAATTATCTGGCAATTTCAATATGTTGAAATGTATTATTAGTGCTAACAATGGCCACCTCAAGTAAATAAATGAATGTCTTTTATTGGCACCATTACTTCCGATTTTTTAGCTTTATGGAATATCAAACTTTATAATTCAACACCTTGGTCAAGAGTGTTTGCTTGTGTAACTTTTGAACTAGAATTGACATTTTTAAATATCTCTGCAATTTCCTCTTCCTTTCCCCACCGTTCCCAAGAAAGTAAAAAAATTACATTGCCCAAGCACAGGGAGCACTATTATGTCCTTTTCTAAGATATTTAAAGAGCCACCTTCATACTGTTATTTTTCATGACAAAATAAACCACAAATCTGGAAATTAGATTTTTTTTGTGAAAGATATCAACCCAGTATTTATAAATTATATCAACAGTATACAAAATGTATCAACAGTCTTTTCTGACCTGCAAATCCCACAGATCTCACAGAAAAAATTAACATTTTAGAATCTTATTATTACAGGAATATCATCTCTATCTCAAGAGATAACCCAATTCATTACCATTAAGATACAAATTACAGCACAAGAGGTATACAGCCTCTGGGCTTGATAGGGTGTCCAAAACCACATGCTGACTGCAAGCGCTCTCTTAGAAAGCGTTCCCACCGCATGTCTTCAAATGGCTCCAGAAGGAGGACCTGTGTTGGTTATCAGAGATCTCACTGCACGTGACTTTGCAGGGTCTTTTCCCTTAGCTGCCTTTCAGATACACTGTCCTCCTCTGCCGTGCCAGCCCTTGGTCACTTCCCCTTTGCATGACATTTCTGCCCCTACAGCAGAGCTGATGCCACAGAGCGGTTGGCTCAGTGCAAAGCTTGGTGGTTCAGCTTATATCGCCAACAAAGGTTAAGTTTGATTCAAGCCTCTGGTCTTTGCACTGAAATGACTGAAGCACACCCCGCCATGTTCGATTTTGTCAGGTCTGCTGTAGGGTTGGTAACCTCAGGCGGATGGATGGGATGGACAGCAAAGAGATGGTAGTGTCTTATACACCGCGGCTAGATTCCTTGGAGTACATCTGTCAATATCCTGCATCTACTGAGTTTGTTAGTCACTTCTTCACATCCAAGATATCCGCTTAAAAGGATACCCAAAAATAAATTGCCTCACATGAAAATGGCAGGTTCAGCTGAGCCTAAAGAAAGAAAAAACTTTTCCTAAAAGACAATGAATACAACCAAGTTGTGCAGCATGGCTTGGCAAACATATTTATACCATTAACACAAAGATGATCCTAGAAATGGATGGAGACTGCTGGGATATGCTGAACCAGACAGCAGCTTTAAAACATGGATATGCTAAAATGATCCTTTCTTTTGTACCAGTGTAGCAAGGATGCAGTTTGTAATTTAGGAAGACAAAATTTACTTATTTTCACACATCTGCAGGTAGAGAGAAATACAGTTCTGTTTAACGTTAGCTATATTGCTTCCATGACAATACATGGCCTGGCACAGTATCAACCTCAAATGAGTGCAGAGTTTATAATGCCTGACAAGGTAGAAGTCACTCTTGTAATTAAGGCAGCACATTCAGATACTCGGGAAATCGAGGTTCAGTTCTCAATGTTGTAACACATTCTCTGCATCACCTTTGGTAAGTTACAATCTGTGCATCCAGAGCATATGGCAGAGACAACACTACTCCTTTCTCCCGTTCTTTGTCTTGACAACAAAGATTATTAATTCATCAGTGCAGAGGATTTCTCTTAATTTGTGTTTATACGATAATTTGTACAACATGGCCCTAATTTCAGATGGAGACTCTATGCACCACTATACTTCTAAATAAAGCCTGACTAGATTTCTTCAAGTCCACAGAGCCAAATTACAGCAATTCATTTAAACAAATTGAAGAAGGGCTTGTATATGGAAAGATATAAAGGGACTGAACATGTGGTTAGCAAGGGGGAGTTTCTTGTGCTGTTAATCCAATTCCAGGGTGACTGCTGGGAATCTTCTTTACTCAGTAAAGCCCTTAATTATGAAGAGAGCCTACATAGAACTGCTGAGGACAAAAACAATGAACAAGTGTCATGGTTAAACTATCTTTGCTTTTATAATTGGCTCATTTCAAATGTCTAACAGAGAAGTCTACAAACTCAGAACCACTGGATCAGAAGCAGTATATTGTTTTTATACGATAGGTCAATGCCATCCACATCCTGTAGCTAAAAGATATGTTCATCTGTGAAAGTATTTATAAATATTACACAAGCGCTGCAAGGAGTAAATAGCAGGGAATAGTAGTAGCCTGTGATGACTCCAACATGTGATACTGAAAACCCAAAAAGCAATTTGGCACTTTCAAATGCTGGCACTAAATACGGCCGAGTAATATGTTTCTACAGCTCTCATTCTATACATGTGTGATCTCACCCTCAGGTCTATAGCCAAATACAAGAAAAGAAATAAGGGGGAGCTGCAGAAACATGTGAAAAAGAAATACTAAATAGTAGACCATTCTCCTACCCCTGTTGCTATGTGGCACAGAGACAATGTTAGCAATGGAAATTCTGCTGCAGGCAGCCAAAAATTCAAAGAGAAGAAGAATCCAAGCAGCAACAGACCTGCAAAGCTCAAGAAGATCCTACAGCCAGACTTACAGCCTGTCTTAGGCTGTTCCTTGCACAGACAGGCCTGACTGAGCATGCCATCTTTTTTTTTTCTTTTTTCTGTAAGCACAAAAATGGTTCATTGCTCCTGACTTCAGCATATCTAATGTGCAAACTGCTAGACTAGAGATCAATATCATCCAAATATTGCAAAGGATTCTGATAAAGTATTAACTCAGTGCTCTGACCAGTTATTAATGGAAGCTTTCTCAGTTATTACAACCATCATGTCAAAACTCGAGCCAAAGGAATTTACCCAAGCTCTGTCCAAGGAATATGACACAGGAATGTAATACACATATGGCAAAGCTTTAATGTATGTGATGACTGCTCGGCAAACGATGTTTTTATTGTCCAAGAAACAATGGCATATTCAAATCCGGTATAAGTAAGGAGTGAATAATGATGTTAGATCATCGCACCATGAGGGAAACACAGAAGAAAAATTTGTTGCAAATTTAGTCTTTCTGTGAACGAAGTAAAACAATACAGAGGACAGGCAGACCATCAGGAATCAAATTGCTTTCGGGAAGAGGGGGGCTGGCATTCTTTTATTGCCAGTAATTTTCTAATGAACTGTTGACAATCACAGATGTTCTTACACCTCAAACAGCTGCGGTTCTCAAAAATTCACCATGTGGCCAAGCGTCAAATTTTAACTGGCTTTTACCTGCCTCTGCAGTTCCGACTACTCAGAGTAAGCCAGTGGTTTACATTTTTGCTGTTGGTAGTTGCTGGCTAAATGAAATAATTTTCACACAGGAGTAATGGTAGCTTGCCTTTGCTGGGTTGTGTAGGTAAACACTGCAGCTTAAAACCAGGAGTAAAACACGCATGGAACAACAAAATGAAAGGCATCTTGTAAATAGCAACAGTAAAGGCAAGCAAATTTCCTAGTTGGAAAGAGATATACCATTTTTCACTTAGCTTTTTAGGAACATCATTAAAATGTGCACAAAATCACGAGTTTTCCACAGCACTCTCCCTTTTTTGGTCATCAAAAAAGCCAATTAAAAATGGATTTGTAACCAATCTCCAAGCCATGAAATTTTCACAGCAGCAATGATACAAGATTTAAGGTAAAAAATAACCATTAAGAATTAAAAACATGGGACCTGCTATCAGACAATCACAATTATCCATTTCTCCAAGTTACAGGGATCCTCTGGTCTTTGTGATTGCAAATGAGCATTTTACTGAGAAAGCTACTAGAACGGGATGTAAAAGGATCTTTATAGTCACTGCTCTGGTTTGATTTCCTGAAACAAATTAGAGTAAATTCAGAATTGCCCTGGATTACACAAGAAGCCAATCTATATGAGTCTAAGAAATCCATTGGAGACTGTTACTTGTACCTGGCTGCATCCTCTAATCCAAGGGTGGAATAAATGCCATACATCTTCTCTCCACAACTTGAGGGTCTCAAAATGCCTTAGTTATTTTCCCATGACAGGCTGTGCCATCTGATTTTGATAAAAAACAAAAATTGAACTTTTACATGGGACTTTTTAGAGACTGTTTTATATGGGAACTATCCTAATCTTAAACAGTTTTCTTTTACTCTAACAAATACTGTTCTTGTTAGCTTATGCTAAAAGAATAGCAGTACGCATAAACTGGTACCTCTTGAAACTACTCTTTCAAATAAGGTATTTCTGAACTTGATAACATCACCTGAAACATTCTGTCTTTTTATGACCTAGCAAAATGGCTGGTATTCTAAAAATGTGTTTATTTTTAAATTACATGTATTTGATAGTTTGACTTGTTTTTAATCATCTAATACAGAAGTGATGTGCTAATAATAACAACAGAAGTACCTTTCATTTACAGATTTCAAATTTGAGATCTCTCAACACTTCGTGAGAATTGTCACCTTCACTTCAAAAAACAGGAAAAAAAATAGCAGAAAACACGTTTCGTATAGTGAAGAGAGAGAAAAAAGTCCAGCCAGATCACATATTCCAGTCTGGTGTTTTATTGCTAGATGGCACAATTCAGTTCTCTGTTGTCAATTAATGCATATAAAAAGTAAAACAAAGAAATAAACTACAACTGGTACTTTAGAATAGGGGTTTGTACAAGTCACAGTCCTGGTAACAATTCTTCTGATGACTTCTTGTCCTGGTTTCGGCAGGGATAGAGTTAATTTCCTTCCTAGTAGCTGGTACAGTGCTGTGTTTTGGATTTAGGATGAGAACAAAGTTGATAACGCACCGATGGGGAAGAAGAGTTTCTCTTTGAGCTTGTGCCATACTGAGATAAACATGGAGAGGAGAGAATGAAACTAATACTTACCGATCTGTATGCTTGGTATTGTATCCTTCTGCTGATTACAAAGGGGGCTTATTTCCAGTTCAAATTTTTGTTCCAGGTCACCTGCAAAAAAAAAAGAAGAGAAAATAATTTGCTGCCACTTATATTTCTTCTCCATACTTATGTCAGACTCTTACAGTGACTGCAACTGTGTGGATTTGAGCAGCTGGAATCTTGCACCAATGACAACCATGTTAAATGTCTAAATACCTTCATTTCTTGGACTTTGTTTTACATATCAGAGAAACTGAGTATGCATACAAAGAAAAATCTCTCTAAGGAAAGGTGACTTCTGAACGAACATTAAATCTGAGCACTTGCATGTTCTGAGGACCTTAATTTTTAAAATAGATTCTCTCACGTGGAAGATTTTTAGGACATTCTAGTTCATTTACTCAAGTGTTCAAATGTCTTCCTATGAGAAAAATGCAGAATATATATTTTAGAAGAAACACATCTCCATTAGTATTGTAGTGTGAGTTGGTACTGTATGCTTGTGGAAATTGCTGTTAAAGGGCAGCGTGATGGAGCCTGGCAGTCAGCAGCTGTGTCTGCAGTAACAAATTAATAAGGGCCAGAGCATGGGCTCGGGCAACATGTATTCATGTGGCAAGAGCTATGGAATTCAAGTTATAAATGTGGAAAAAGGATGAAATTAAAAATTTGTCTCATAATTGTGGTGTAGCTGGGTATCAGGGCTATGCCTGTGCTGCTGCGCTGAACTTGCATCACTAATTCCCCGGGTGGTCCAGGAAGTCCCCGGAGTCATCTGCACAGGACTGACTTGAGACAGCAGACAGACCTGAAACAGTGGTTGACCAAACTCCTAGCCACCTTCATAGCACAGTATTTGACTAACTGGAACAGGAGGTCTCCAGGAGTGAATCTGGGACTGCCCTGAAGACTCCTACAAGGCAGCTCCTGCTGTGACTGGCCCTGAGGTCTGTTTCAAATTGTTGAAGAACAGCCTGGGTGGGGGATCTGCTCACTCCAGATGCCACCTGAGACTGCTCCTGCTGCAGAATTGACCAAATTCGGTGTTGAGAAGATGCTTATAAACAGTCAGTAGCAACTATTCCTGCAGATGCAGAAGTGGTCATGCAAGACAGTCTTCTGTGCATAGGTAAGACAGGAGATGTTTTTTATGTAGTTGAAGGTAATCAATAGCAATGATCATGTGTATGCTGGAGCGGTCACAGGGGACCACAGGCCAGCTGGACATGAGAATTCAGCAGAAAAACAGCTCAGGGAGTCTCATTCGCCTGTTGCCATCCAGACAGCAACCACCTGTCCTGCTGGAGAGACTGCATTTCCCCATGCAATCAGTACACCATGCAAAGATTGCTGTTAATGAGTTAATGTGTTTTTTGTTTGGGTTTTTTTTTTAAACAAACACTCCGTCTGTGAGTGCAACACGTTCATCCTTTGTGATTTTTAGCCTTCTCTGAGACACTGCCAGGGTACAGTCTTGGTTACTGCATGAGGTACAGACCCATTCCTATCTGCAGTATGGGAGGGAAGGGAGACTAGCTGTGTGCAAGCTAAGCTGCACACTTGCCCTCAGGCAATAATACTTTGTCCATTTGATTTACTAGTAAGGATGTAGTGAGGGGTGGTTACAAGAAACGTTCCCATAAATAAGACTGACCTGCTAGATCAGACAAAATGTTGTATTCAACCCGAAAAGAATCATTTTACTTTAAATCCACTGCTTTTGTTTAAAAGTTCTTTACTCCCCACTAATAGACTGTTTTGACATAAATGCTATTGTGCCACTCAGGCTGTATAGCCCCATATAAAATAGCGTGTGCATTTTTAAGCCTTGCCTTTCTTCTGTCTGCAGCTTACAATGCCTTCTTAAATGTGAGAGGAGTATTTTCAGTTTCAATTAGATATTTACAAAATACCAGGGAAATGGTTTTAGCTTCACAAAGGATCAAAAAGAACAAGTCAGCAAAACTGAGACAAAATAACAGTTTGTCATGTTTTCAAATGTGTAATTTGTCTGCCCTCTTTTTCCCCTCTACCCTCTCCAAAAATCTTTGACTGAAAAAAAGAGTGTCTAACTCCAGTGATGACCCCTCTAGGCAGGTATTCTGCGTTCAAAATGGTTGACCTGGCTGGCTTGAAGTGTAATCAACATCATCTTATTTTTGACAAGTCACTTAATTGACAAAAATAAGATTTTCCTCTGCATGGTAAGAACTTAAATGATGGTCAATTTTCCCATGTTTCAAGTTGCTATAAAAGTAACTGCATGAATTAATTGCCGAGAGCTTTCACGCTGGAGAAAACCTTCTAAGCAATTTTAAAACCTCACCAGAGAAACTGATCATTAATGTTACTTAAACATTAGCCATTTTCTTGAAACTTCTTTCTTGCCGGTTCCAGTTTTATATAAACAAATCAAGTTGCATTATTTACCCTGTGTTCCTATTTGACTTTTAAAATGCCCATATGAGAACAAGTTAAAGTATTTTTCTAGGAAAGGTTCATGTTAGGAGCTGCTGTAGGCATCGGGTACTCCCTGAAATGTACCTGAGTTGTATATTTTATTTGCTAATAGATGTAGTGTAGATGCACCAGATGACTGGAAGATAAAGATCTGAGTCTATTAAAATGGCATTAGAAATGTTTGGTACAAAAATGTTCAAACTTTGTACACGTTCCAGAAGGAAGATTAAACAAGGCACGAATTGTGGGATTATCTGCCTCATCTATAGTTAAAAATCAAAACATGAGAGAGATGCTTTTCAAATGCTAAACAAAAAATAGCTTCAAGCCCCAGCATTCTGTGTAAGGGGGTAGAGAGGTCTACAATAACATTTTAAAGTGATAATGGTATCTAAATACATGCTATTTAATATTGTCTTTTGTGTCACTTACCAGAATTATACAGCTACCAGTGACAGTCAGACCACAGTTTCTGTATATTCTCCCACATGAAATGCTCTTTTTCTCCCTGTTACGCTTCTAACTGGTCTCATGCTCCAGTGTCCCCTTTCAGAGGTATATTTTAGATGTTATAATAATAAATCTTGAGTCTTGGGGAAAAAGCTTATGTTTCTAAGAGTTGAGAGTGCCGTCTTTCTCAGCATGGTCCCTCAACACACTAAAGGTGAGGGGCACACTAAAGCACAACTGGGGCCCTGTCCTCATGAGCTGGATATTGGTTATGCCTTGACTATAATCTGACTAAATAAACCTGCATCTGACAAGTTGTTTATGTTGATTCAAAAGCAGCAAAGTCAAAGACATTTCACCAGCTTAAACTGACATTGGCTGAAAATTAACTTGCTGACCTATTTGTCCTTGTTAGGGACTAACTGTACCAGGTACCAGCTCGGATGTGGCTTAATTTTGTGGTGCAGAATTTTAAATGAATTGAGAACTTCATTGTGTGCTCTTCCAGCGTTTGTACCACTTGCCTTCGGCTCTCATGATGCTCCGAACAAAGAATTTAGCAGTGATTAAACTCTGCTGCACCCTGTGTTGTAGCACTGCATGACCTTGCCTATGCAGATAGAGCCAAATGGTGTAATTACTGCGTTTCAGAAAAAACCCTGCCTGACTGCGCTCTCTGCAGGGGTTTGAAAACATTTGCAATAGGTCCTAGCCAAGCTTTGGCTTGCCTGCTTTGGCCCTTTCAACAGCGTGCTGGGAAGTGCGTTTGAACCCTTTCTCTGCATTTGTAGGCAGAAGAATGTGTCATATTTGGGAAACAGCGAGGGTAAGGCTCCCATCGGAGCTGTAGTGGGAGCGTGAAAAGCGAGATAAAACACAGTGGGCAGCGGTAGTGTTTGGTGCAGTGTAGCCCTGGTGCCGTTCCAGCTCAGAAGAGCTGGAGGGTTCTCAGAGAAGAATCCAGCCGCGGGCTCTCCAGCCGAATTCAAGTGCTGAGGCACAGCAGAGCCCTCCCTCCTGCCTGACGCTGATACAGGAGCAGTGAGGGCAAAGAAATACTTGCTGCTCTTTCACCCCTTCCCACTTTTCAAATGAGGCAAAGTAGCTCTTCAACAGCTTGTTCTTGAGGGGGATTTCAAGGCAAACTGGGTAGGCTGAATGCTACCTCTGTCTCGCCACACAAAAAGCCTGGAAGGCCGAGGTGAAAGGGGACTGCCGCGTGCAAAGGGGCTGACCTTGCCGGTAAAACTCTTCGCAGACCCGTTCGCTCCACTGTTTGCTCAGATCCCAGAGCCGGCAAGGGTTGCAAATGTCAGCGCACTTGAGTGCAATCTGAAAGCAAAGAAGAAAAGTAGCGATGAGAAAAGAAATCATTGTCTAGCAGTGCTTCAGCAGCAAATCTGCAGCCATGAAACTCCCAGGCCTCACCAGCAATGTTGGGAAGGGTTAAGATCACCTTTTTAGAGACTCGGCCTCACCCAAATATGCCTTTTGAGGAAAGAGCATTTGTTTAAGCTGCAAACAAAACTTTCATTCAGCTCTCCGCTTCACCGTAGCAAGAACAAGAGGAGGGCCAAATTCCAAGGCTGCAAAGTCTTTTGGATATTCCTTGCAAGGAATAAGCCAACAAAAGCCTCAGGCTGGCTCCTGCTGACTGCCTGGCTCAGCATCCATGGCTGATGACAAGGAAGGGAAGAGCCAAGCTGGTGTAAGACTATTTGGGCATCATTTCTCTGCGGTCTCAGTGAGTGACCTTGCATCTCACTTCAATTACACTTCATCTTAATGTCTGCATATTTTTGTTTACAAAGCTAAGCACAGGGCTCTCCGCACTGCCCCTGGCTTGGTTTCACTTAGTTAACTAGTACTTTTAAGTGCTTTGCAGGGGAATGACTACAGGAGGGCAAGAGGTTTTTAAAATCAAGTAACTGCTTCAGAAAAGTAAACCATGTAATTGTCTGTCTTACTGCCTTAGAACAAGATGTCATGTGCCTCATTTCTTCACAGATTGAACACAGTCAGTTAGCCTGACAGAGGTCAGAAATCATTCTGGCACCCGGGAGGAAAACAGAAATATTTCCTGTATAAATTCAGACCTGTGAACTGGAGGAGGGAAGTCTCCAAGTCACTTTTCTCTCTGGATTAAATTGATTAGCCTTAATGTTACTATTACAAGGGTCTTTCAAACATTCTTTAACTTACCCTGATCAATCAAGATTTCTTGGGGTTTTTTTCTTTTCTTCTTCCACAGCTAATCCACCAGATAAATAAATCTCACCATGTCTGTGCCCTAGTTCCTATCTATGCCCTATCTTATCTCTCCTATCTAAAGAAAGCGCATAAGAAACGTTTTGCCGTAGTTGAGATCTGTAATCCCTGTGCCTTTGGCATTTGCACAACTTTCTTGCCTAATCTGTCCAGAAATACGATAAGCTCATCACCCTGCCCTGCATGGTCCATGCAGGAATCTGACAGAAGACCGTATTTGATGGAGGACAGGTGAGCATATTACTACATTTCCTACACTGGTGGAGGGGGAAGAATTAACAGATCAGCACTTTTTTCCTTGCAGCTGTCACCTTTCCTGTAACCTCGACAAAGTGATAACATGTAGATGTTTGTTTTATTGATGATAATGATTACTTAACTCCTTTATGTATTTAAGAGTGAAATTGATGTCATTTCTCCAGAGAAGCATGTATATGCAGCTACTTTAATCATAATAATGCTTTAATAGGTAGAGGTTTATTCTGAAGAGCCTGTTAATGACTGCAGCTTAGCTGGAAGAACCAGTTTGAATCTATTGGATTTTTAAATAAAATGTGGTTTCATCATTAGCTGGGCAGATCCACTAGAGAAGCACCTGCTGCCATGGCAACAGCTGTCTCTGCAGAGGCAGTTTCTGAACATCCATCACAGGGACGGGACTTGGGCACCTGATGTCAGGCTGTCTTGGAAAGAACACCGACAAGGGGGCTCTCTTGCGTGGTGCTAGGAAATAACACCAGTGAAGCGACGTTTGCCAGAAGAGAAAATACAATTGAAGCATTACCTGGCAAGAGACGCAGTCTGGAAATAAAGTAACTAATAGCTTATCTTAATTTCTCAGCATTTGACACTCTCCTGTATCTGTTGCATTCACAGCTTTCTAACTCAAGGAAATTACATAAGGAAATACTGAAGGCACCTTACGCTTGCCTGACGTACCAGGTGGCTGCAGCAAAGTGTTTATGGTGATAGGTAAGGAGACACTGATGTCCAGACACACTATCGTATGCTAGTCTAACATATACTAGCAAATACTGTGACTTGAAAAATGAATAAAATACAGTAATGGAAAAATAATTTTTGAAGTTACCTGAAGCATAAAATGTCTGTCTTGCGCATCCTCCAGCCTCAAATCCTGATTGTCAAGGTGAGACTTCAGACGGATCAAAAACTCATTCTGCCTGTTGATGTCTGTGGCCAAGATCAGAGAGCCCAACTGCTGCTCGATGTCCTGTCTGCAATAAGGAAAATAAGCCCCTTCAATCATGGAACCACTGAACATTAATAGCGCAAAATAACCTGCTACGGATCATAGCTAGCATAAAGCTTCCTCTTTCTTTATGGATGCAGTCTGATCTCTTTGCTCAGGGTTTGCAGGGTACAACTGTTCTAGCTGCCTAAATGGGTTCAGGAGGAATAGATAACATAGAAGGAAAATGCTTGTTGGCATAGGTGGTTCTGAAAGCAGCTGAAAAGTGCTAGGAAAGTAAAACCAAAACAACAGCATGATGCATCTAGAAAAATGCTCACATCTTACTTCAGCTGTTCAGAGCTGGGTGCTGAATACAGCAACTTTAAAGTTGCAGTTGAAGTTGTGAAGGACTGAAGTCCTTTGAAGTAGGACTGAAGCTGTTGGTCTGATGCAAAGGATTTCTGGAGGGATATGGAGCTTATCGCTTCCAGGTAACTTGTTTATGTTCTTGGTAAGGTCACCTGTGATTAAAATTTAGTATTGCAGGCTGTTCATTGGCTCAATCTCCATTCCTTGGTGGGAGTAACACTGCACAAAACCAGCAGGTAAAAAGTTGTTGATTTGATAACACATCGATGTTTGTTGCTAGGT